GTTTAATTTTTTAAGCATGGTGACACAGTATATAAAGTTTTAAATATCTTGGGGCTGCTAATTAAGGAATGATTTGTGGTTAATGCATTTTTAATTTACTTTGTTTAATTAGCTATGTTATTCGGTATGTGTCATCAAACACTGCTATTTTTTTCACAGTTTAATTTTACACATTTAACTATCAAGCAACAAATGACTAAGTGAACGTTTTTGTGAAACATTAAATTGAGCTTATTTGAAGATTTTAGCCGTTATATGTTCATGTTCAGAGGCAAAATTCATTAGAGGTAATCAGAAATAAGTGTTCTCGGAATAAACATATTAATGGATGTATTTTTAAAGTGCATCATTTATTTGACACGTTTTATACAGTACACTATAACATTTGCCTAGGTTAAAAGCGTAAAACAAATGTTCCATTTACAGTAGTATTGCAAAGAAATAATACACGTTTATCTGTTTGAGAATGAAAAAAAAAGCCCAGAAGATATAATGCCAGTTTTTTAAAGTTTGTCTGTTACAAATTTACGCGCACAGCTATTCAAGAACTATTTACGCATAGTCAGCCTTAAATCTGAACGGATAGACTAAAGGAAAACAGCTAATTAACAGCAGCACCACCAACTTTTGGGGAAGGCTATTCTTCTCTGTCTGAATTATGAGAGTTGATAATCACTCTCAGTAATGCACTCACAGCCTCAAAGTACGGAGCGTGTTTTTGCGAAAACGAGATACGAACCATGGACATTCGGATGTAAAATCTTGACATGCTAGCGAATAAGCCACGCCCTGCCCAATTTTCATAGATTTATGTGAACTGTAATTCCATATTTTCTCGGACAATACACTTTTATACAAATTTCATCTTAATTGCATGCTGAAAGATAACCAATAGATAACATAGATTGATCGGTTTACAAGCCAAGAAATATTATTATACGAAGTTTTTGAAATATGGAAATAAAAGTGCTCTGTGTACTGGTAATATATCGTATGATACTTTTTATAATACTGGATGTTTGATTCCCACTCTTAATGATCTGATAATAACTTGATGTCTTAGTCTTGATTACCCGCATAACCCTAAGCTTCGAGAAGTAGTCTTATCGTTGTGAACATTTATAATAGAACATATGTCCTTTATTCGGGCTACATTTCTGCACATGCTCTACTTCTGTATACAAGTGATAAACCTCCTCAACCGGATATGTTGTAGAAAGAACTGACTCCTGCCACCTGGTGGTTTGAAACTGTCTTCTATAGCAAACCGAGTTAAAGAGCTTCATTGAGAAGAGGTAAATAGTTATATTTTTGAACTAACGACCAATGACTTGTAAATAATTTCAAATTCCCGTAAATGTAACTTACTTAATAACAGGTTTAGGGATATTGTTTTCATTAATTTTTGGTTTGCTGTTAAGCACAAACTTGCACAATGGGGTATCCATGCTATTCCCAGCGCAGGGATCGACCACCAAATTTTACAGTTTACTGCTGAACTACAGAGGATAGGGGGATTTTTTTAAAGTTATGAATCAAGTTTATTGCTGAACTACAGAGGATAGGGGGATTTTTTAAAGTTATGAATCAATAAATAATATCTTAGTATACTCTGATGGTGGTATTAAGCCGAATAGACGTGATACATTGCCGCTTTTGATCTGTGCTTTGGAGGGATCCGGAGAAGGCACTTCGGTAATTTTTATTAGGTACCTAATTCGAACCTATACAAAGCTTTTCTATAAAACTATGGAAACACTTCCACATAACATTTAAATTAATCCAAAATCTTTGACTAATAATATAGTCTTTTTAAAGGTATAAATATTTTGATCTATTCTAACCTGTTAATAAATTCGCTGACTGAAGTTGAAATGTTTATACACATCGGCTTTTCTACGAAACCAGTTTACTTTTGTACCAGGTCAAATGTGTTTCGTGTACAGTTCTACATGTTATGATCTATGGAAAATTTCGAGAGTTACTTTGTGTTTCCTTTGAGTGTATTTTTGTTTTGTTTGTTTATTGGTTGTTAAACATAAGGCTTCGCGATGGTCTATTTGTGTTTCGCCCACCGCTGGTATCGACAGTCTATTTCTAACGTTATAAGCCTTCAAACTTACTGCTGAGTCATCGTGAGCGCTTATTTTCATGTAGAAAACTTAATATGAAATTAAATGTAAAATTGTTCATGACAGTTAAACTTTTTTAGGGAGTCAGTGTTGTGGGAATCACTTGAAGTTGAAAACGACAACAACGTTAGAAATACTGTTGAAATAAACTCAACAATATTATATAAATCCATTTTAGGTGATTTAAAGCAGACTTTTAAATTTTTAAACACATTTGTGGTGGGTCCCTCAGCGGCCCAGCGATAAGTCTGTGGGCATATAACGCTAAAAATCGAGTTTCGATACCCGTGTAGGCACAGCACAGATAACCCATTCTGTAGCTTCGAGCTTAACAGCAAACAAACAAAGTTATGGTGGACCACAAGTCCATTTTCTGTGTCTGATGTACGTATTACCTTTAGCTTGACAAAGTGCTACTCCTCCTATTCGTATTTGCTCAGATTTTTTTTGTAATCGTTATTGACTTATGACTGTGCTACTGAATTACATATTTAACATTTTACTGTGCTTGTCTTAAGAAACAGAAAAAATAATTGTAGTTCTTTTACCATATACATTTTACGTTTTATTCCGGTAGCTTATAGTACTTAAATTCGGAGTTCGATCCCCGCGACATGCGCAGCGCAGATAGCCCGTTGCGCAATTTTGTGCTAAAACAAACAAAACCGACAGCAAAAATGTCTGTGTTTAAACAAATATATTATATGACCAAGAGTGACTGTTTATTGTTCTGGACATTGTATGTGCCAGTAATGATATATATATATATATAAACTTTCTTGCAGAATTATAGAGTTCATACAAATATTGAATATATATTACTTTATACTATTATTAACAACACATTATTTCTTTATTATTTATTAGCGCAAAATGTGAGGTATTAATGTACTATTTTCAGGCCGAATTTTAGGATGACTGCATTAATCCCAATATTAACCACGGTCACCTTGTACCTTGGAGCAACTTTTAATCTGCTAAAATATGAAAAAGCTGCCGTAGACGTCTTCAATTTAAGCAGTCTTAGGGACAAAGTCTTGGTAAGCCAAAGCTATTACAATATGTTTTCTGGACGAAGTGCATTTAAACTTCTAAATTATGGTACCTCTCTTGTTAGATCAAGGACTAATGTAGGTTTAAGGTAATATAGGCCATAGTGAAATATCATCTATTTTAGGTAGCACTGTTTCATTTGAATTTGGATACAAGCCCCAGAATCACACAAATAGTTAAATATAGCTGAGTATTTTACGATGAGCGAATGATGTATGTGTTTATTGTGTCATTATGATATACTAGCTGAGAGTACCCTTTAGGGAAGTAAAAATTGTATAAAGAACAATTCTAGATAATGTTTCCCTTCCATTTTTCTTTTGTTATTACATCAGTAAGGACCTTGTTAGATGCTAATTGTATACCTTGTTTTATGAAAGGCAATAACTGATTCATTTCAACGATTAAGTGCTCATGTACTTAAATTCAAAGCCTAAAGTGTATAAAAAACTGGAAACGTACCATATCTAAGGGTATTTTTTTATCCCCTTATCGGGAGAAAAATCCTAAAACATAATATCCCATGTACACTGTCGGACAGTTTTTAGTTACCATACCAAAAACTATGGTAATCAAGCTAGTCAACTGTGGGTGATGGATACTAACACGTACACATACATAGTTATCATCTTTATGATAAGATTACTTAATATGTAATAATACTATTTTAAAAAATAAATAAATATATTATAACTGAAAGGCTGTTGCTTAGGGTTTGAGAGGATATTAGCTTGTTTAACAAGTTAACAATATTTTGATTTATGAAAAACTAAGAGCTAGGCCTAAAATACAATGTTTATATTTTTATTACTAGGATAATGCTTCATGAAACAGATGATATGAGTTCTGTACTGTACTAAAAAAAAAGAAAAAAAAGCAACTTATGTTGTGTTTGAAAAGTGACTTTGGTTACAAAAGGTTAATTTTATGAAATATTCTTCTCGCTTTCTTTAGACTATAGACCGGAGCTTCACAAGGTCCCAGTATCGTTTAATTGAAACATCTTCTGAAGCTCGAGATTTCTTGGACGTCACAGGGGACCTGTCTCTTCGTGTAAAGAGTGGCTCGGTGGAATTTAGCGGGGCTGGATCGTATTTGAAAGATAGCGAAAGTGGAGAAAACTTCGTCGAAATGCTCGTAAAAGTCGAGCATGAAACAGTAACTAAAAGACGAATTCATTGAAACCCTAGACTTAGTATATAATCTAAAGATTGTTTGTTTGTTTTAGTGCAAAGCCACATTGGGCTATCTGCTGTGTCCACTGCGGGGAGTCGAACGCCGAATTTTAGCGTTGTAAGTCCGTAAACTTACCGCTGACTCACCGTGTGGACTAATCTAAGGGAGAGATACTAAACAATAATACAAAATAAAACAATACAAAATAATACTAAACAATAATACAAAAAAAAACAGGTCATCATCCATTTTTTTTTTGTTTTTTGCAAATGCAAATATTAGGTTATTTGCAGTTGAATTACTAGAAGATTAAAGCGTATATACAGAGTGTTGAGTAAGTTATATTAAAACAATTTTAAGTACGCAAATCAGCAATTGCTGTGACAATCACAGCCAATATAAAATCTCGGTGGAACTGAATGTATCAAACTATTTGACACTACTTGGATTTATGATGCTGTTGAAAATTGATCGCTTTCCGAAAGGACGTGTAACAGCCCTTTCCAGCTAAATATTAATACATTCAGATTGGGGGTTTTGATTTTAAGATAGAAATATCCGTCTTACTTAATGGCATTGCAGAACAAAAGAATGTGAATTATATTGGGTCACCAGAACCACCTAGAAAAAGATCTGCAACAAGTCGTATCTCAGCCATCGTAAGCGAAGTGTGACGTCTTGTAACAGGTGATAATCTACGAACACAAAGGTCAGAGACAAATGCCGTCCACACACACCCTAGGCTACAGCACACAGCATAATCAAGGATTTTCTTATGGAAACAAGGCCAACAGGATATGGATTCATCAAGATAAGGCTGCCAGTCATACCTCTCGCTCAACCGTTGCACACCTCAAGAAGCTACAGAATGAAACGAGTGTTTATGTAATTCTATACAAAGACATACCAGTCAAATTGATACTCACAACACCTTTGGATTTCTGTTTGATCGGAATGTTGAAACTGGTGCTGGAAAACCTTCGTCCTCGTATACTAGATATATTATGAAAAGAATGCAGGAAGAAATGATGAGCTTCGGACATGATGAACTTACGACAGAGCGTTTTGCAAATGGAAACTACGTTGCAGGGCTATTGTTAAGATGCACGGACATCAGATAGAGTATGAGCGAACATGGCGACATGGACTGTAACTATGTGGAGAGGCTCAAAAATCGTTTTAATATAACGCACTCAACCTCTATAGTATCTAACACATTTCTATTTTATTTGTACTAAACTAACTGCATTATTTATCCGTAGAATTATACACGGATTTTTCTATACATTAAAATACCTTTATTTGCGAGCTTTCGGCCCTCTTACTGGAGCCTTCATCAGACAATAATGTACTGACCTAATACTGTTGCCCGATGAAGGCTCCGGTAAGAGGGCCAAAAACCCGGCAAATAGAAGTATCTTAACGTATAGAAAAGTCCGTGTATAATTCTACATATTAATTTACCTTCGTTATGGGTCTTAAAAAACAAGCATTATTTATCTCCTACTTCGTAAAAGGTGCTTGAAAGTTATAAACTCTGCTGTCAGTATGTGCTGGTGTTTACATATATATTATAAGTAAGAATGGTATATTAAATTAGCTATATTCGCTACTGAGTTGATTTTTAGTTCTGATCTATGCAGGGATCTTGCTTTGATCAGAAGTTAATGGCAGTAAGTGTGACAAAGCTATGCTGAATTTGCTATTTAATTGGAATGATATATTTTTGACGAGACCCGGGGTAGATTCGGAGTGAATAATGTGTGCGTAAAAAGTACTAAAATCACTTTTTAAAAATGTATAACTTGAAATGTGCTGCATTATTTTCAAATATTTATTTCGCTAGGTGACGGAGACAATTCCATCTAACATACAACATTTAAGCGGATGGCAAGAAAGGCCCAAAGAACAAGTTGGTACTCACTATGTACGTAGTCTTGTGTATGGAGGAGATTTGGTGGCTTGGGTTCGGTTTAAAGCCTCTAACCGAACCGAAAAAGAAAAGATTAAAGCAGTTGTGGCAGCGAATCTGAAATTTAGTGGTAACTTGGACTTAGATGCAAAAGGTAGGTATAAAAATTACAAGCGTTCTTTTACATATACCTGTATCAATAAAGAAAGAATATTTACTGTCCAATTGTTGTGATATAAAATGAGTTACTAAAGCTTGAGAATATGACAAAAATTAGAGAAACGACGCCATTTTTAGGACCTCAGAGTCACGTTGAGTGGTGATATACTACATTATTGAGTCAGGTTGGGCGATAATATACTACATTATTGAGTCAGGTTGGGCGATAATATACTACATTATTGAGTCAGGTTGGGCGATAATATACTACATTACTGAGTCAGGTTGGGCGATAATGTACTACATTATTGAGTCGGGTTGGATGATAATGCATTACATTATTGAATTAGGTTGGGGGATGATGTAATACATTATTGAGTCAGGTTGGGTGGTGAGCAACTACATTACTGAGTCAGGTTGGGCGATAATGTACTACATTATTGAGTCAGATTGGGTGGTGATATAATACATTACTGAGTCAGGTTGGGCGATAATGTACTACATTATTGAGTCAGATTGTGTGACGATGTACCACATTATTGAGTCAGATTGTGTGACGATGTACTACATTATTTAGTCAGATTGGGTGACAATGAACTGCATTATTGAGTCAGATTGGGTGGTGATATACTACATTATTGTGTCAAGTTAGGTGATATGTATTGCACTATTATGTAAGGTTGGGTGACGATGTACTACATTACTGGGTCAGGTTGAATGATGCCGGGTTGGGTAATAATGCACTACATTATTGTGTAAGGTTGGGTGACGATGTACTACATTATTGGGTCAGGTTGAATGATGCCAGGTTGGGTAATAATGCACAACATTATTGTGTAAGGTTGGGTAATAATGCATTACATTATTGTGTAAGGTTGGGTGACGATGTATTACATTATTAGAACTTTGTTTTTATCAAAAGCATCTGATCAAAACTGCAGTGTAAAAAATGCACTGTAAAATTTAAGGTGAAGAAAAACCTTAACACTAAAAATACATATATTTTAAAACTTCGTTTTGGTATTAAGACTGAATATAAATAACAATACAAAATCATCCGTTGTGATACTGGCCACTCAACATGATTTAGTTAACAAAGGAAATATATATGCACTTAAACAATGGAGCTTTTGTCATCACACAAAAAAAATTCCATGCACTTTCAAAATTTTCCAATTTTTCTGTCAAATTTTGTACGTCTGGATGAATTCATTCTCTTGACTTGAGCTTCTTTCTGCTCTTTGAATTTATATACTTGAAACACGGGCTTTATGTACACAAAAACAAACTATAATACTGGTCTGGCACAGTACATGTTCAAAAATTTATATTTTAAGAAAGGTTTCTAAACCACTGGAGTATTTCCTGTCTATATTACGCTAATCAGCTTATATGAAGCACTTCTGTACTTACTACATTGGAGCTGAATACTTATTTGGGATTCATAATTGAAAATATAATAACCTGCAAACAAGATAGCGACAGGTTGCTCCTCAAGTAACAACTTGCTCATCGTTTTCTCCGAAACCACTAGAAGAATGCTATCCCAAAAGAAACACCTGCCTGCAAATGAAACTGCAAAAATACATGAAAACAGAGATTCGAGAATAAGAAAGTTCAGGCGGAGAAAGCTTTATTCTTCTGGTGTTTTCCACAGATGTCATCTTTATCTGAAGTTGTGTAGGGATGACTTTTTCAGCTGCTAATGTAGCTCTTTCATCACATCAAACTAGTCAATGCTAACATTATCTATCAAACAAAACGGTAGTTCTGTAGCAAAAAAGAATTTGTTTTAGAGCAAAGCCACATTGTACAAATTGCTACGTCCACCGGAGGGAATCGAACACCGGATTTTAGCGTTGTAAGTCCATGGACCAGGGGACGGAAAAGAAAAAAGAAAATAATTGTAGTTTTTTGTGTTTACAGAGTTTGTTACATAAAACACACGTGCTTATTATTCTTCTGCAGAATTAAAAAGCCCCCCAGTGGCACAGCAGTATGTTTGCGGATTTACAACGCTAGAAACCGGATTTCGATACCCGTGGTGGGCAGAGCACAGATTGTGTAGCTTTGTGCTTAATTACAAACAAAAAATGGAAAATGTTTTCGTTTATCCTGAGAATTATACAACTCCAGGAGATGGTTGAAAAAATTCACTTTAAATTTACCAGAAATTTTCAAAATTTTCAGAACCTCCAATTTTTGTTCAGCAATAAAACACATACACACATTATTGCAAGTATTATTGTTCTAAGTTCTATGACTACAAAACAATTCAGTGCATACACTTTTCAAGGTTCGATTGTCAAAAGTTATAAAACCCGCTTTAAGATGACTTTTAAAATAACCTGTATTTCGGCATTATTCACCGCTAAGGGAAACAGCACCAAAATTTTAAGCACACCAAGTGCGGTATCGAACGTTGTACTGAGTACTTGCAAGGCGAGCACCTAGCGCTGTTCTTCTGTGTTTACTAAGCGCTTGATTTTCATCGTATTTCTGAATGAAAGTGCTATTAATTAAGGACCATCCGAGAATACTGCAGCGTAAATCGAATACAGCAAGCGTTTTGTTGACGTCGATCGCTGAAATTAGATTGGTATGCTTTTCACCAGTAAACCCGAACTTATAGTAATCACCAGGCCGTAATCGTGGTATAACTCATCAATAACTTTACGATAAAATGATTTTCTATGCTTTGTATTTTATTTTGTTTGTTTTACCAATACAAGTTTTTTACTTCTTCTCTCGAACTGACGCATACACACATATACGTGAACGATACACATACCGGCGGATACTACACGTATTCGGTGCGCACAGTTTTTGTTTTTAATGTAAACAAGTGCGTATTTATGCGGATACGCACCTTCCCTTCACTTCCTAATCATATGTAAACTACTTAATAATGTATGTAGTATTAGCAATATCTTGATGTGCGTATTACTTTCCTGTATGAGGTGTTTCTCTTTAAATGTCTGGTTAAAAAATACTGATTACAGTGTGTGTTGGGTGATGTAACTCACAAAAATACGTGAAACTTGGCAGTGTAAGTGTGTTGGGTGATGTAACTCACAAAAATACGTGAAACTTGGCAGTGTAAGTGTGTTTGGTGATGTAACTCACAAAAATACGTGAAAACTTGGCAGTGTAAGTGTGTTTGGTGATGTAACTCACAAAAATACGTGAAAACTTGGCAGTGTAAGTGTGTTGGGTGATGTAACTCACAAAAATACGTGAAAACTTGGCAGTGTAAGTGTGTTGGGTGATGTAACTCACAAAAATACGTGAAAACTTGGCATTACTAGCATGATACCTTTAATTTATGTGCAGTAAAAACTATTTGGTTCCTAATTTACCCAGGAATCATTACTAAGCTACACTGAACAAGATGTGACCAGGTGATTTTGAATCTTCAAAATCCCGCGTCCCCTAATTCAATTAATAATACAACTGTTAAAAGAATTACAATATATGAATATATATATATGAAATAGTGGTGAAAAATAATTTTAACTTTAATGAAAACTTTGATTTGGATCTAACAGATAGACAACTAACCATTATGTTTGCTCATAGCGACATCTCTTAAAATATTCTGTAATCAAACATAATTTTCTATGTGTTCGTCAGGGCAATTTGAGAAAATTCAAGAAGAACTTCAAGAGAGTTATCGCGTGGAAATCGATGTGTCTGCCACCGTGCCTCCTAGGAGCCCACCTCAGACTCCACAGGAACTGATTGATCTGGTCCAGGAATACCCAAGCTTAGTGAAGCAGATCAACCAAGGAAAGGGCAATCCTCTTCGAGCTGAGCTTGTCCCTTTAGCTATGCTGGATTCCAATTACAAGTTTAATTATATCGTTAACAGGTGAACAGATTATTTACAGCCTAATCTCGGTTATCGTATAAATTATATTCATGTGGTTTTGTAAAACAACAACAATATGTTATTGTAAAAAAGCTAAAACTACCTATAGATGGTTTGACGTGGATAATATAGAGAATGAGCTTTTTGTTTCTGTTTAAATAACTACCATTGCTAGAGAAGTTTATTTTTACGCTTTCTGAATGTCGTTATATAAGTTAAGCACAATAAAAAATTCACACTACGTTAAAAGAAAGCGATTCGAAAGCACATTCATAAAAATAAAGAATGTTTGAAATTAACGTATTATCACAATGAGATGACGTCATTGATTTATTACAATACTTTTAAAGTTGTGGAATTTATTCTGTTTGAGAAAGAATTAATATAAATTATATTTTGGTATATACAAATATATTTTGTAAATTATGGTAACCGAGATTCTTTTATGTTTTAAAGCCACTAGCTCAAGTATACTGGAGCGATTAAACAATTTACGACTTTTTTACAACAACAAACCCAATTATCCTGCACTTGATATTCACCTATATAATGATAATTTACCCGGAAATGACATCTTATACATACAAAAACAGCCAGGTTAGAATAAAGGTGTGATGTCAAAAAAAAGATACAAGTTAGACAAAAAGGTAAATCCTGTAAATATGTATTATGAAAGCAGATAAGTGGGTTTTATTTATAATAAATGTAAGATAATGCATGTGGAGTGTCACAGTTTGAGTATAATTTTGATGAGAATAGCCTTAACAGTGTTATGGAAGAAAAATATCTTGGTGTTATTGTTGATTAGTCTTTCATGCAATGTGCTGATGCTAGTGCAAATGTTAGTTTGTATCTACACAAATGTTGAATACAAGTCTAAAGAGGTTATAATGTTAATGTATAGGTAATTGGTTAATCCACATTTGGACTATTGTGTTCAGTCTTGGGCTCCTTACCTCAAAAAAGAACATTGAATTATTGGAAAGGGTTCAGAGAAGGGCTACTAGGATGGTACCTGGGATAGAAAGGTTATCATACAAGGATAGGTTAAGATCTCTGAACTTGTTTTTTCTTGAGAAAAGAGCATCTGATTGAGGTGTTTAAGATTGTTAATGGAATTGATAGTGTTGATGTATCATATGTGATTTTACTTAATGGTGAGAATGGTAAGACTAAGAAACACAAACAGGATGGTTGACCATAATATTTCAAATAATCATCGTCTTCCTCTGCCTTGCGCCAGCCCTTTTAAGCTTCTCTAGCATATTTTAACGTAGAAAAAATAACGTACTAGAAAAGATGCCAAGCAAAGCAGTTAACCCCCTTTATCTAAGGATGGTAAACAACAACAACAGAAATTTCAAGCATACTTACGTCTTGCTGTCACTATTTTGTGATCCGAAGGTATAAACTTCTTCATAATTTTTATCTTGACTTACTTCATCCTAATCAACTCCTAGGCAAGTTTTGTTCACTAAATTTTAGTAAAGTTTATATATTTCTCTATCTATCATAGAATTTAAGTTTCCTATACTGATGCAAAGTTTCAAGAAGTGACAGATGAGTTAAATGTGATGTCGTAGACTCCTTGTACAAAATTCAAAATAATTCAACACTTGAAATATAAATTTCAAATTTGGACTTTCCAGTGCTGTTTACGGAATGCTTGAAGAAGTAGAGAGAAAATTTGACGATATTCGAATCAGCAAGACTGCATTTCTTAAATGGAACTACAATAGACCACCAGATGCTACTGAGGAAAAAGAGAAGATGGTGAGGGACCGACAACATTTTTGTTTTGATGTCTAAAAAGAGAAAATTATAACATTTAAGAGTTCTATATGTTTTGTGTACAACGGATCCAGCTAACTGGGCACTTTCAAAACTTTTTTATAACTAAAGGGTGTAGATCTGAGTATGTAACTAAAACTTCAAAGGCATATTAAACATCTTTGGCTCTTACAACTTTTATTCAATGAATCTAAGTAGCATGGATGTTTTTGATGGTTTTAAAATAACGTTTGTTTTCTCACGTATCTTAGACTTTCAAAAATATGGCGCAACAAAACAAATTCTACTCTAACTTATACAAAAGGAACGAGAAAAAAAAATTAAAGAAACATACAATTAAGTTTCGTTTTCAACCTTCAGATGTCAAATATAATGTGCTAAACAAGTGATGGACGTTGCCCAGTGGGTAGCGCACTCGGACTGTGAATCCGAGGATTTATGGTCTGTGGCCAGTTGCCTTAAAAACGCGCTCCGCACTTCGGAGATGTGGTTGTACTATAAGAGCACCTGTCAAATCCTACTATACGATTAAACAAAAGTAGCCCAAGTGTTGGCAGTGGGTAATGTCCCTTTGCCATTGTCTAATCTATCAATGCAAAAATAGGGACAGATATGCGCAGATGTAGTTTTGCGCGAAATATTAAAAAAAAACACAGGTCAAATCCTACAAGCAGGATTATTTCTTTGTAATTGATAAAAACTACTGTAGGAGTCGTGCATCACACTTTAGGTTTTTTTTTAAGTTTGGCTGCTGGAATTTAAAATTCTAATTTTCAACCTGATCGACACCTGCGTATTTGACTTGCTGAACGACCAATTGAAATACTCTCCAGGATTCACCATTCTTTCCAATTTTAAACAATTGATTAGAGGGAGGACAGCCAGCTAGCAGCATTTATTCCCCTAGGGCTCTGTCTTGCCCCCTGAACCGAATAACGGGGCTAACTGTCAATCTTATAAAAAACACACAGACCTGAAAATGCGTAGCGTATTCAGCAGCATACACTCTCGAAGCATTTCATTCATAGTTCGATACCCTAATTACAAGGCTGACTCTGGTTGTTTTACAGTTTAAACCTGGGCTATGTTTATTGTATATTTTACTAACACCTGAAGTTTTGTTAATAAACAGCTTACTTAAAAAAAAGAGAAACAAATAAGAAACTTCAGTACCTTTACTTAATTTTAACACTAGTTATATATATATTATATATATATATATATATATATATATATATAATATACACTATTTGTCTTATTA